ATATTTTTGAGTGAAATATGACTTACCTGTGATGGAAGTTATGATAACCCTCTCCAAATGTAAAATATATGGCAAAGTTACTTTCCCGGGGCTCTATTAGCTCGTCGTATGGCCTGGATCAAAATAATTTATTTAAATTTAAAATTTTTTATATATTAATAAATATTGTCTTTTATGAATAGGTTTCAGACCTGATTCCATACATATGTGCCGCAGAATTGACTAAAAATGTGGAGTGAAGTGCATAGAGATATCGCAGTGTATTAGCTATGAATGCATTAATGAAACTCTCGTCCCATAATAACATGGGTACGATCACGGGAACTATTATGCCACACACTAGAGACTAGTACCATTATAAACACAAAAAATTAAATTAATCATTAAAATAATTACTATATAACTAATTATATGCAGTCATACCAAAAGTGCCATGTGCCTTTTCTGAAACATAACTATGGGATCGGCTTTAAGGTCATTGATATCGATCTCATTGCGCTTCTCAATGAACTTCGGGTGCTTCTGGACTAACAACCAGCCGATATGTGCGAAAAATAGGCCCCGATTTGAGTTGTGGGGGTCGGCGTCCGTCTCGGAAAACTTGTGATGTATTCGGTGGTCACGACTCCACACATAGACACTCCTCTGCATAGCACTCGACTCTAATAACATTAGGACTGTCTTTACGGTCGGGTGGGCTTTGAATGACCGGTGGGTCCATAGTCTGTGGGCGCCTAATAGTATACCCAAACCCGATAGAAAGTACATGACGTACGTCCAGATGTATGTCTTGAGTTGAATGCTTCTGAACTGACAAAACCATCCATAGATTCCTATGATGTGCACTAATATGAGGAACAGGAGGGTTCGCCACACAATCTTATGTTTGTGATTGATTAGGTCTTTCAATATGAATTGAATATCCATTGAGATTAAAGTTAAGTTTGTGTTATTAATTAAATATGACTAGATGTTCATGTATTTTAAGTTTATAAAAATAATTTATCAATTGATAAATGTTAATAAAAGTTTTGAAAATATTACTGGGAATTTTTTTTTGTTAAACATTTTTAAATAGTTGGCAGTTTACATACACCGGAACTGCTATTTTGTAAAATACTATTTGTCCACATATCAATTAAATCAAACAAAAATTATATAATTCAAAAGGAAAAGGTAATTTAGTGCCTCATTTGTAATATGTAATTGGCAGTTTACATACACCGGAACTGCTATTTTGTAAAATACTATTTGTCCACATATCAATTAAATCAAACAAAAATTATATAATTCAAAAGGAAAAGGTAATTTAGTGCCTCATTTGTAATATGTACATTATATGTGAAATATTAGTTATTAATTGGAATTATCAATATAATTTCCTATTAATTATTAGTTTATAAATAAAAATGTATGAAAGTTATTTAACTTTTGATTACCAACGTTTATCAAGGAAAAATTATTTTTTTAATAAAAACTATTAAAGTTTATGAATCTTAAGTTAACCGACAAATATTGAGTTCATTAGATGTCATATTTATAAACTAACAAATTCCTAATAAAAAATGTAATCAGGGTTCAATTCCTGGTCGCGACCTTTAATGCAATTTGTCTTTTCAATGATTTCTAATACTTTCCACCCATTTATCTCATATAATAATAAGTTATTGAAAAAACATCTCAAAAAAATATTTTGTTTATAATTTAAAATAATTATTTATTAAAATATAATTATTTTATTTTTTACTAAAAACCAAATAATGAGAACTCATGTTTTATTTGAGAAAATTTCCAATTTTAAATATTCTTTATATGCACATAAACTAGTATAATACTATATTTTAAATAATAAAAATATTATTGACAAAAATGTTTAAATTAATCAATTCATAAACTAACAAAGATTATAAAATTAATGTCTTTATTAAAAACTTTTCGCTTTTTTTGTTACATAAGATTTAATATAAAAGTTAAGAAACATCACTAAAAATATGGGGTTCTGTCCGACGACTATCAATAAGAAGTCTATGGGATAGTTATGCTGATAGACACCTAACATCAGCCCATACATCCCGCACACAATAAACTGTATAATTTGTATTTGTGTTATCATACGCTTAAAGTAACTAATGTTAACGTATTTGAAATTAATTAGCGACAGATTATAGTAGGTATACATCACTATATGTATGAATGAATTGATTACAATAAACAGTCTTATGATAGGTATGGACGCGTTGTGTTTCATGGACAGCCAGCATATNTAGACACCTAACATCAGCCCATACATCCCGCACACAATAAACTGTATAATTTGTATTTGTGTTATCATACGCTTAAAGTAACTAATGTTAACGTATTTGAAATTAATTAGCGACAGATTATAGTAGGTATACATCACTATATGTATGAATGAATTGATTACAATAAACAGTCTTATGATAGGTATGGACGCGTTGTGTTTCATGGACAGCCAGCATATTATGGGCAGAACCGTGTGGTGATAGAGGTGTAGGAAAGTGATGTTCCTGGTCTTTTTGCGCAAATTTAATATGACGGCGTCCGTGAACGACACAAACTTGGACATACTGAATATCCATATGAATTGTATAAAGCTAACCAAGATACAAATTACAATTATTATTTAGTATTTGCCGTAATATTCAGGATATATACTCATTTGAATGACTGGAAGTGTCGGTGCGGTCGGGAAAGTCAAACTCCAGGAATATTCTGCCAGAATCTAGAAATGTTACACATTTGCGGAATATGTAGACATTGAGCGCCACCATTAGTGTGTTGTAGACCAGTGTAAAGCCAGTGAGATGGTAGGGCTGCCGGTGCCGCATATATCGTGGTAGGAGGACTTTGACGACCAATAGGTAGGCGCTCAGTATGGATAAAATCTTCCAAATGGGTCCGCTATAGACCGGGTAGTCCTTGATTCGGGGGTCCTCTATACGGCTCCAGTAGTCGTCTAATGGTGTGATTATTAACATTGTGTTTGCAGTTATAATTGGAGTCTATATGCAAAGCATGTGTAATCAAAACAAAATTATTTTTATAAAAAATGATTTAACCTAATATTACATATAGTTTAATATTGGGTAAATACAGTAGTTATACTTCCTTTTTAAGTGACAAAAAAATTATTTAATTTTTTTTGTGAAATCGATATTATTTTACAGTAATTAATAAATAGAAATTATTTCCTTTAGAGTTCAATGAATACACAATTAATTCTTGTTTATTGTAGCAATTGATTTGACTGTCATTTTAATTATTGAATAAAATTTTACAGTACTAACAATACGAAATATTAAATATTTAAACAGTTATTAGACATTTATAAAATAAAATAAAATCATTTCAATTTTTTACATTGCTTTTTTGCTTTTTCTTAAAATATCTCTTTTAAAGTCATACGACTAAAAATATTTTAAATGGTAATTAAGACATTTGTCTTTAAAATAAACTGATCGAGGAAATATTTTGAGAATTCTCGAAACTCGTCAAAATATTTATGATTTAAACATCAAATGAAAATGTTACAATTTTCATAAGTACAATGCAACTTCAAAAACTGCTCTTGGTCATAACCACTGACATAGAGGTCACCAAAAAATAATTATCAATTTAGGTGAGGTATCAAGTTATCTCAGTACCTGTTCACATGTTCATTACACAATTACTTACCTGTCATATGATTATTAACAAGTATATAAATTATG